TCAGAGACACTGGCCTGATTACATATGCCAGCGCCCAATGCATTCCTCGCGATTCCGATGTTCCAATTCATTGCCTACGCGTTCCTTCATCCGACCAGCGGAACATCTAAATTTATCAGTATCGGGCCATTCCGTTAGCTCATATCAGTAAAGTTCTTCCATGGCGCTTAACGCTAGATGTGCGATTAGGAGGCACGTCGTGTGTATTACTAAGCATGGCGACCGCTTTGTTGTCCTTGGAGAAAACCAGCCAAGTGGGACTCTTTACATTTCAATCCGACCCACGCAGTTCTTTCGGTGTGGGGACGAGGTAGAGATATAAGCATCATCACATCAATGGGGACATGAAACTTTGCGGGCGTTTCTTGTTGGTTCTTGCGGCTAATGTCGGAGGTCGGAAGTTCCGAGGGGGATCCTAGTCCATCATCTTTCGGGACGCGTGAGTTCATCGCTGGTTCAGTCGATGTGTTCGCCCGTTGTTCACCTTGGCAAGAACTTAGGAGCTGGCATTTGAAAGAACTCAATGTGGTCGTATAACTTCTACCGCCGATCCCAAAAAGGTTCACTATTGGACTACTCACTTTCTCTGTGGTAGGAAACAGACGTTAACTCGGCACGTTCCTTCACATGGGACATATTACTACACCAATGGCTTCATTCACTTAGAGACCCCAGCCACATCGGTTCACATACTTACCGCCACCTTAAGAGCAATGGGGGATTCATGAGACCTTTGATCAGCTTTTCCAAGACTGGAATTCATACGCACTACACAGCCATCTTCACTCACCTCCTCGAATATGTATGGGAAACCAGGCAAGTCGGACTGGATTACTTCTTCGCCCGTCTTCAATCGTCAGCCACCAATAACTTGAGACGACCAGCACCTTCAAATAGCCTAGGGTCTGGCTCTCTCAGCCGAATCAACCGACTTGGAGATGGGTGAGCCTTGTCTGAACTTGGACCCTGAGTGGTACGGACAACAATCCCGCGGTCTCCACGGCGTTTTACTCGACAGTCCGTGTCCTAGGTGACAAATAAGCTTTCCTACCTAGCATGTTTGGGGGACGACCCAGCATTGCCCATGCTTATGCGCCCTGAGAAGATGCCATTTCGTGATCAGTGAGGCTGGTTTTGTGAGAAACTAGCCACTCCTTCAAACTTCTGGATGGAACGTTAAAGACACCTAGGTATGGATCTTTCCCGATAGCGAGGGTGCAGCTCGTATGTAATACGCAAGTTTCGTTCGTTTGGTCGATCTGGATCGACATTATCCGCTCGTTCACACTTTTTCCACGGTAGCCATCACGTCGATCCGTCCGCTAGATGCGGCAGCGAAACAATATGATGATGCGGGCCACTCTCGGTTACGCTGTTGCCTTCTTTTCATCTCTAATTTCTGCACAGTTTGTTGCTCAGCCTACGGATCTCAAGACGGTCAAGGGAGCCGGCGGCGTCAATGTCCGCTTCAAGGAGGTGCCGAACGGCATCTGCGAGACCAACCCCAACGTGAAGAGCTTCGCCGGCTACGTGGACGTCAGCCCGACCCAGCACATGTACTTTTACATGTTCGAGGCACGACAGAACGCCGCTGCGGCTCCCTTGACCGTCAGACTGGACGGCGGGCCGGGAGCGTCCTCCATGAACGGTCTCTTCACCGAGATCGGTCCTTGCTCCATCGACGCCAAGGGCAAAGTGGTGGACAACCCAAACTCGTGGTCGACGGTGAGCAACCTCCTCTTCGTCGACCAGCCCGCCACCGTCGGCTTCTCCTTCACCAACCTGGTCAACGGCACCGTCAACCCCAAGACGGCCGAGATCGTGCCCCAGCAGTGCACGTCCGCGGATCCCATGTGCGGGACCTACTCCTCCATGGACGTCTCCCTCACGCCCAACTCGACAGCCGACGCCGCGAAAGTCTTCTACCAGGTGATGCAGGGGATCATGGGCGCCTTCCCACAGTACGCGGCCAACGGGGTCCACATCAACGGCCAGTCGTACGGCGGCCACTACGTCCCCGTCTTCGCCGACTTCATCACCCAGCAGAACAAGGCCAACGCCCCGGGCACCGTCCCGGTGCCCCTAAAGTCCATCTCCATCGAGGACGGCTTCATGGACACCCGCGTGCAGTTCGGCGCCTACTTCAACTACTCCGTCTCCCCCGGGAACCCCTACGACATCAAGCCCTTCAACGACACCCTCCAGAAGCAGCTCTTCAACAACATGTTTGGCACGGGCGGCTGCCAGGACCGCCAGAACGCCTGCAACGCCCAGCCGGCCGACAGGCTCTGCGCCGAGGCTGACGCCTTTTGCGTGAAGAATGTAGAGGACTTTTGGGACGTCAACGCCGGCCGCGCAGAGAACGATATCCGCCTCCTGCTGCCCGAGCCGTACCCCTCGGCGACGTTCGTGAGCTACCTCAACAGGGCCGACGTGCAAGCCGCCATCGGGGCGTCCAATAACTTCAGCCAGGCGTCGGTGCAGACCGCCATCGCCTTCGGGTCTACGGGCGACGATAGCCGGACGGGGGCGCTGGTCACGCAGTCGCTCAAGAACCTTGTCCAGCAAGGAGTCACCGTCTCCCTCTTTACCGGTGACGCCGATTATGACAGCAACATGATTGGCGCGCAAATCGTTGCTGCGCAGTTGGGCGCCGCCAACTGGGCGAGCGCCGGGTTCGTCAACATGTCTGCCAACACGGACGGGCAGGTGCCGGGGGAGGTAAAGCAGGCCGACAACTTCTCCTTCACGCGGCTATTCTTCGCGGGTCACCTATCTGCTTTCAACCAGCCCGAGGCGGCGCTGAGGATCCAGGAGCGGACGATTAAAGGGGTAGATATCGCGTCTGGGACGACGCCCATGGTGTTTGGGAAGAATCTGATCACGCAGGGGCCCCCGGAGAGTACCTTTAGAGAAGGGTCCGCGACGGTGCAGACACAGGTTGTGCCCAAGGGCGCCATGTATGATCCGCATACGCATCTGCCCGTGTTGCCGGGACGGGTGGCGGCGGTGGGTGGTGGTGAGGTTAGTATCAAGGCTGACGAAGATCCGGATATGGAGCCTCATCCGCTGGCTGGTATGACGGCGAAGAATATTAGGAAGATGTTGAGAGAGAACGGGCCGTCACAGTTAAGGATTTAGTTAGCTCATATATAGCGGGCTGAAGAATGTTTAGATATCATGACCATCTCACTTGCCAAGACATTTGAACTACTTGTGCGTGTGTAGTTCAATAAGTGAGCCTGTATGTTTTGTTTGTTTACCTGTCCTTTGGCCCTCTATTAACCTCTGGTGGAATGGGAAGCTTCTCTCGGGACCATTATATTGCCTCCAAAGCTCGGTAGCAGGAGTCTTAATCCAAACGTCGAAGCAGGTAACCCAACGAACCGTACATAAAAGAGTTATGTCGCAGTCTAACGAGGCAACTCTAAGGTATAAGTATGAGAGTTGACAAGACAATGTCAGCAAGGGTAGAAAGCTCCTAGTTACCAAGGTCATTGCATCTAGGTACTTGTATTCTTGGACCACCCTGCCGATTCTAGTACGACGTTCGCAGCCATCTTACTCGTCTTGTGTCGCGTGTAAGAAAGACAACCAGTCTATGTACTGACTTTTCTCCTTTCCACTAGAGACTTCACAAAGAACTAAGCGGACCTTGGTCCCCTTATTCTGTAATTTCTTATACCATGACGGCCCCTGTTCATTCAGAAAGAACCTTTCGTAGAGGATCAAAACTTTGCTGGATCCATATCAGAGCTTAGGTATCAAAATGGGTCAAACTTTAGAATGGATTTTAAGCTAGAGTGAGTATGATGTTGGTATGAGCATCTGGCTAGGGTCTTCAATAGCTAGGATGAGATGGACATAGGATGAATATCTTATCATTGACTTCGCGGTCCACTCCGAATACGTTATAAGTAGTGGTGAAGAGGTGTTGATGACGACGAGGTGGTTCTAGTTTATATATCTCCGTGTCGGCTTCTTCTAAAATAACTGCCTGCTATCTGAGCCTCTCTCAGGTTTCCTGCTCCTTCAACCCTCAACGACGTTAATGATGGAGGCATGCTCACAAGGAAGGTAGAGAAGCACTCACACCAACTACTCACTTGCCCACTCCACTGGGATACTCATCCAACACCACATCACCGCTACTTGTGACGTATTCCGAAAGGGTTACGATGTCGAGAAGGCGGGATAGATATCCAAAGTCCTCATCATACTAGGTCCCACCCCAAAGGTTCAACTCACCACAAGACGCTATCCCTCGTATAATACAAAAGCCCAAGCATCTAGCCGCCCTTACCTCTATGTATCCCAACACCTGTATAAGAAGGCTCAGCAAGCTTTCTTCCCTTTCTCTCAAACCACCTTCTCCGTCTGCCTGGACCATTGCTAGAGTAAGAGGTCGTCAGGCCTTGAAGAACAAAACACCCGCCGAAATGCGCACGTGAGCAACCGGCAGGCGAACTTCCAAACCAAATACTCTGATTATCCAGGTATCGTCGTCAATTACCTCAGATACCCAGAGCGCCGCCAGCCCTTCACGTGGTCCATGTATCGAAGGTCATACGCCGGCACCCATATGCCGTCTGCCGGGATCGCCGAGGCCGTGTAACCTTTGTAACTGACATGGTGTTATACAGGTACCCGCATGGCAGGTAATCAAGCTTTTGGCGCAATTTGCTGAAATTATGAGCCTCAGCTTCCATCCCCCTGCTTGTCATGGGAATGTGACTTCCATATATCCGGGTAATGGGTGCTCCTGGTTCCATATAGGCATGGCCCGTAAGACTGTGTAGGCAGAGATTAATGGTAGGCACCAAATACGTAGAGTCACCGAGAGCAAGGACAACAGAGCATGGTAGTCATAATACGTTAAGAATATTCGGGCGTCTTATACGCCATGCTGAGTATGCTTCTACCCAAAGCCCCAGCCCAATGCAAGTAATCCCGCCCATGTTGTAAAACTCCAAAGCCCATTGTTAATACTCCTCATTACGTGTATAATGCAAAAAAAAAAACCACTTTATGCACAATTAACCTCTCTTCTCGTCGAGATCAGTGCGATCTTGCCTCGCTCCCAGCATCGGGCTGGGCTGGATCTCGTCACCCGTCTCCTTCTCCCGCGCCGACGAGGACTCGGACACGTCGGCGTCGTGCATCACACCGCTCTGAGACTTGCCCTTGTGCTGCTCCTTGAAGTAGCCGTGCATAGCCTCGGAGAAGAGCTCGGGGTCCTCCCAGACCTCGGGCTCCTTCTCGCCCTGCATCGCCTGTCTCTCCTCCCACTCCTTGCGCATGTCCTCGATCTGAGCCTTGTGGTCCTTCTCGGCGTCGTAGTACTTGCCGACGCCACGGAGGCGCTCCCAGACGCTGAGATGGGTGGGGTGGACGGCGACACCGTGGTACTCGGCCTCCTTGCCGCTACGGATGTAGGTCCAGCGACGCTCCTGCTCCTTGAGATCGAGACCGGTGGTGTCGGGCAGGAAGAAGTAGGTGAGGACCATGCCGGCGAGACCAAACCAAGGAACAACGTGAAACTTGGTCTGGGTGTCGATGTAGTTGTAGAGGACGGAGGCGAGAAGGGCTCCGGCCTTGCCAATGCAGGCGGAGAAGCCGTGGGCCGTGGCGCGGACGGGGGTAGGGAAAACCTCACCGGCGACGAGGAAGGTAACCGAGTTGGGTCCGAATTGGTTGAAGAAGGAGCTGAGGAAGTACATGGCCTGGAATGCGTGAACGCCAGCTGGGCTGGTGTAGTATTCGAAGTTGAAGGCGGGGATGACGAACATGACGAAGCACATGAAGAAGCCAACCTGCTGCATCATCTTGCGGCCGTAAAGCTTGTTGTCGATGAACAGGGAGGCGAGGTAGTAACCGGCAAGGGAGACGACGACGTTGATCAAACTCCACGTCCACTTGGTCAAGAGGGAATCGGGGTTGCTGGAGATGACCGAGATGAATTGACCCTGGAAAAGCTTGTTGCCGTAGAAGAAAACGTCGTTGCAGAACCAAGTACCAGCGGTAGCCAGAATACGGCCACCAAACTGCTGGAAGCAGTACTTCAAAGCGTTCACGTCGTAACCGGTGACACCCTGCTTCTTCTTAGCCAGCGCAAGCTGTTGGTTTGCGCGCGGCATCTTCCAGGTACGGTAGTAGACGAGCCACAGAGTACCAATGGCGGGAAGGGCGAAAGAGAGACGGAAGGTGTACTGAGCGGCGGACTGGGTGTACGGGCCGTTGCCATATCCGCGGTTGAAGATGACGAGAAGGACGATGAGAACGACCTGGTTGATGAGCTGGCCCCAACCCTGCATCAGGAAAGCCATGGTGACCTTGCGGCCGCGGTGAAGGCGATCCTCGCGGGTAGACAGACGACCGGCGGTGACGGAGTTTTCCATGGAGGACGTCGCAGTGATGGGGTATTCACCACCAACACCAAATCCGTAAAAGAAGAGGGACCAGGCGTAGAAAATGACCCAGCCCTGGAGGGAGCTGGCCCAGCAGCCGGTCAAGAGCAGCAGACCGACAAACATGATGGCGGCATCCTGAATGAGACCCCAACGACGGCCAATCCAATCACCAATGACCTGTATTCATGTCAGAAATGACATCTCTCTCTCTCAAAAAAAAAAAAAAAAAAACCCCGAGGCTTTCAAACTTACACCAACAGCGGCTTGACCAATCATGATACCGACAATCTCGAGATATGTGACAGAGGCGACCCAGTTCTGTGTGCAAACGGCGTGTCCCTTGCCCCAGCACTCGGGCCAGACGGCAGCGAAAAGGGGCTCCAAGTTACCAATGGAGAACAGAACGTAACCCTCGAGACCGAGGCCGGCACCGGGAAGAACAGCGTTGCGAAAGTACCAGGTGAGAGGAGAAAGGGGGTCCTTCTTCATCATCTCGCCGGTGGCCCTGAGCTCCTTGGCGGCCTCATCGCGATCGACCTTGTTGACGAAGCTGACGCGCTTCCACAAAGGCAAATCGGCCCAGTAGACACCGTCGGGGGTATATGAGTCGTCGGGACGCGTGACGTGACCAAAGATCTCGCGCTCATGCGCGGTGGTGTGCTCCCGGGGGTAGTCCTCATGCTCCTGGCCCGTCTCCGGACCGTGAGGCACGGGAATCACGCCAATGGGGGCGGAATGGCGCTGGTGATGAGTCGCCATTGTGAATAAAGACTGTGAGGCGTCCGAGACACTTCCTAGGGGTGGTGAGAAGGAAGTGTTTAGTGACGAGCTGGACTAGCTCACGCGCCGATGTGAAGAGGGCGGGTGGCTGTGGTATTTAGATGTGTCTCGTAGGGGGGTTGCGGGGAGACCAAAGCAAAACCTCGAGAGGATGGGACGGTAACCCACGGACAAGGTTCACTGGTACAAGTGGTTCCTTGCTGTACCTAAGGAAAGCAGGCAAAGGATGAAGGGGGAGAGGAGGGTTGATGACGGCCACGGCGGGAAGAGAGAGAGGGAGGGCAATGGTGATGGGCCAAAGAGGGACGGGAGCAGATATAAGCAAAGTTGATCCCGGGATGGTGGAGGACCTGGTCGGGGCAGATGTCTTGCCTCAGTGACAAGATGTCCTGGATGTGGAATCGGCCGAACCCCGAGGAGCCGCTCAAGTCTTGGGACTCTGGACCAGTCTCCGTCGAGAATTGGATCCCGTGGCTGCTTCACCGGCGGGTCAACGGTTCTCTGATGTGCCGAAAGGACCCCTTGAGTTGGGTAGGTCGACCGTAAGGTATACTATAGGTGGTGTAGGAAGTAGTACATGTACCGCGTCGCCAGGGTAGTCTCGAATCTTTTCCCAGGTTGGGTTAAGGGTCAGAGATTGAAAGATGGGGTGCTGCTGCTGCTGCTGCGGCTTCTGCTGCGGACTGGTCTTCCTGATGGAAGACGATACAAAGCGATAACAGTAATGAAAAAGCCAATTGCCAAAGTTGCTGTAAGCGCGTCCAACCGGGTGATTTGGATGGACAGACGGAATCAAGCCCCCAGTGGACCAGGGGGTACGATGTGCAGCACTGCAGACTCAGATACTTGAGAATCGAGAGGCGGAAGAGGAAGAGGAGGACGGGCTTAGGACTGTGGTGGAGTGTGGCCACTCTGCCCACTTACACCCCACTGGGGGTTGGGCTGGGATCCATGGACCGGAGCATGGGATGGCATGGAGAAGAAGAGGAATGTCCCGTGTCGGGAGACATCTGCTATGACCTAGGGGTTCTGGAGTACCTGAGAGATGTTGACTTTTTCGTAGCATCGGCAGCGCCCATGGTCACATCCAAGAAGGTATTATGCAGTGGAATTCTGAGCAAGTGCATACATAGAGTAGAAGGACCCTTTGGGTTGCTCATGCACTGAACTCCTCTCCATGTTCGCCGCGACCTCGGACGTATCCATGGTGGCTTCCCTCCACTTTCTTCTCATTGTACCGTGTACGGCTACGGTGTACCTCGCCTTGTGATCAAGGTGAGTGTGGGAAGACCCATAAACCCCCCAGGCGTCAGGGCCAGAAGAGGAGTGGGATGAGGTAAGAGGCGACACGGATGGCCGTTGAAGAGGCGTGTCTGTGTGGAATGTGTACGGTAGGTATTGTATTTGGGCAAGACAAGCCGAGTTTGAGCATTGGGTTCAGACCTTGAGTGTGATTTGTTATTATTGTTTTCCCATCTTTATTTGTTTTTTGGACTAGCGGGTTGAGCACCGGCAAGAAAAAGATTGATTAAAAAAAAAAAAAAACCAAGCTGGAATAAAAAGGCCAGAAAAATGATACAGGGACCAGCTGCGGTCAAACCCGAAAACGGGCGGGGCACACTAGCTCTACGTCACCCGATTGGGCTAGCTTTGGAGCACCTTCAACCTTGGACTCTACCTAGTCTAGGTACCTAGTCTAGGTACCTAGTCTCTGGCAAGCCGCAAGTGTCTGGGAACACCTTGGAGGCAAAGCTGCGCAAGGACTGGACATGTCAGGAAGAGCCGAAGAGGAAAGAAAGCAGGTAAAATCCGAGCCGGCTAGGCCTGTTGGGTCTTTCCAGGCTGTCGCTCCCGAAGATCCTGCCTTTCCATGCTTGCCCTTGTCCGCCGCACCGAGATCCAGCCTGCCACCGCCGATGTTCTCACACGACACCTCACCCAATATGGTCCTGCTCCGTACGAATACCAGAGGGAGGTACCTTTGTACACATCTTGGCAGCCATCAACTCTGACAGTCCCGTCTTCAACTCGGCCAAAGTCGTACCATGTGCACCATGTTCTGTGGATGATGTGCGAGGGCACGCGGGGGGGGAGCGTCCAAAATACTATGAACTGCAACTGTGACAGTCACAGACAGAGGGAAACTCATGCATTGAAGGGCAGTATTTTTATTTTTATTTTACTTTCCAGCACTGGCCATCACTCGCCATTCCCGCCTCAAGTCCAGAACACTGTCTTGACCATGTAACTGTGTGTGTACAGATAGTGTGTACGATACTGCGTAGAGCTCAAGCTTCAGCTCTCAAACTCCAAAATCCCACGAGGCACAATCTGTCTCCATGGTTCGACACATGCAAGACAGGCAGTCCCCTTCCATCGAGACTCTTTTAGAAACCTCCCATCTCTTCCACGCCTGGATCCCCCGTCTTGTGCCTCTCTACCTGACTGATCCCCTTTTCCCCAATCTCTCCCAAACAACCACCCTTTCAAGTACGTGGTAGTAGGTACCTTACTCTTCCGTGTCGTCCTCCTCCCTCCCGGCCGAGGTCAACCGCGTGCAGTCGTTGTCGTTGAGCAGACACGTAGAAGAGAGCTCAGGCGTTCCATGTCCTGCTGACTCGCCCCGCCAATTGCGGCTGCAGAAAGAGAGCAACACCTGGACCCCCCATATCCCAACCTGCAGTAAGGCGAACGGAGGGGCAGGAGGAGAAAGAGCAAGATGCTGCACTGCTGCAGTCCTCCTCCGCTGCTTCCTCTGTGGTCTGGCCGCTCCTCCCCTCCCCTTCCGCGCGCCTTTCTGTCCCCAGAGGAAGACGTACCTACCTTACTGCGTGACTGCGTACCTAGAGAAAAAAGATACAAGTGACAAAGTGACCAAAAAGAAGGTGACGGATGGATCGTCGAACCAATCTCTTCACAGCATTCCTCCTCGTCCTCCCCATAAAATAACCCCGCTGCTACCCACATGGCACCTTTTTTTCTCGAACTGCGGTAGGAAGGCTCCACTTATGGCATGCCACCTTGCCCGCAGCCCTTTCGACGAGCTTAAAGGAAGTACAAGAACCGCCGAAACAAAACTCATCCAGATCCAGCCAATCACTACTCGTAAAACGAAAACGTGCCAGATCTATTGACTCCCAGCAAACCCGCACTTCCGGCAGGGCCTAGTCCTCCCCCATGCACGTTGTGGCTGCATGAAGCTTGCGTTGACAGCGTTGACGAAACCTCGAAGCAGACGCGACCAACGAAAAAAAAAAAATTCGAAAATCATCGTACGGGCAAATTGAAGAGCTATGCGAGGAATCTTTCCCACTAAACCCTTGGTACCTTCCCGCATGCCGAGCCATCGCCAAGACCTTTTCAATTTTCCTTTGCATCCTGTGCTAGCCGCCATCGAGAAAGTGCTCGCGTGCTCGCTTTCCTCTTTTTTCCCTCAGTCGCAACGTCCCCTCGTCCGCAGCTGTCGTCGTCAACGTCGCACCGCCAAGCGCCAAGCGCCAAGTCCACACGAGTTTCACACAAGCCTCGGCCGCCACGCACATTGGCAAAGCTTCTTTGCACTCTTCGTCTCACTCTCCCTTCCTCTCTCTCTCTCACACACTTTCTCACTTCTCCTCTCATATCACCGCATCTCTCAGACTCTCACTCACCCTCACCCATCCAAGAGCCATGTCAAAGACGTCAGCTCTCCAACGTAGTAAACCCATAACAAACCCCCCCCCCCCCCCCCCCCCAAAATGCTATATAAATATCAAGGAGCGGATGAAAAATTACAGCCATCTCAAAACATGCACCATAAACTCTTAAGTATTAGCATTTCATCAGAATGATATAGGACAAGACTTTGGCTGCTAAAGCAAGCACACTTGAGATGAAATCAACCCAGTGCTTGGAGCCAATGATTGCATGAACCGACTGCTCACCCACGCATCGCCGACGACACCATCAACTCTTCCCCCGGATTCCACATTTCGAGATATACTCTACATGTTATACACCCCTCCTCCTCCTCTCATCGCCCGCCATCTAGACTAAGTACTGAGTAGGAGACTTAGTCTTCCTCCAACTCTATGCACGTAAGGACGCCTGCCATTCTAGTGCAACGGTAAACTCAATCCTCTGGCCCGAACACCTTAAAGACAACCATCTCCGCATGGCTCTCTCTCGTCCGCCCGGCGAATTATCCCCGGTTCAGGCATCACCCCTCATCCTGGCATCGAAAGCTTGTCTGCAAGATAGTCACAGGAGGGGGAAGCCTATTCCCGTTTTCTTCTCGACTATCTTACCAAATGCCCTAGATATCCATCTCCACGAAACATCATCTACAAGAGCATAGGTCGTCTCAACATTCAAATCAGCACAGCCTCAACATGTACATAGTGATCTTGCTCTTCCTTCCCTCATCTATCATGATCATTCATGGAAGTTACCAAGATCGCCGCTCATGACGAGCTTTGGATGAGAGGAGGGATATAAATAGACGGGCCGGACCTTCGCTTCCTAAGGTGTACCGACCCCATGATTACCTCACTTCGAGCTCTTCAGAGGCAAGAGAGACTTTGCCACTTCTCAAAGCATCCGTCTCTTCAACGGTCCCAACGTCCGTTAAAAATTGTGAAATCCGTCATCGCTTCGACCGCCAAGAGTCCGAGAGCTCCCCCTCCGTGACGTGCTCAGCCACGCCGTTGCCAAAAGCCTACGCAGTCGCCGTCATTGCCACTGTTCGGTTCATCCCATAATTAACATGCCGAATAGAGAAAAAAACGAGATGATGTAGTCTTGGGTAGGTTGCCTCCTCAGATCGCTTCTTCGAATGGCCATCATCGTACCTTATTCCATACTTCCCAGAATAGACGGAAAGTTGCGAATCCGAGTAATAGACAGCACGTTGAACACTTCGTAGTACGAAAGAAAGTACAGCCGTAGCCATCAACGTCATTGCAGTCTGATGATACTTGTATTCAGTCTTGTTTTGTTTTTTAAGAGGCTTTTGTTTTGATTGAGCCGTGACTCCCCCTACTTTTGGCGGCACTGCGTCAGACCCGAATGCAAAAACCATAACGCAAAAAGAAGAGAGAAACAAGAGTCTTCCCCTCGACGCAACCATGCTTGATCAATAGACCCAGTTACCGAGCATGTCTGCCCGGTTGATCTTCTCGTATCAAGCAAGGGCCAACTGTCTGTCACAGAACCCCGCCGCGTCCGGAATATCGACCCTGCCCGTCCCTTCTCGTCAACCCAGATGCAGTTTGTAGGAGAGAGCCTAAATCGTGTAGACACAGAACAATATAGAAAGGAAAAAGAGGAAATCAAGTCCAGAGCGGTGTGTGGTGGTGAGCGCAGTCGCCCCAAGAAGTCTGTGCAGAAGAATGAAAGTTAGTATGCAGGGCAATGCAGCACCCTCGCATCCGCCCTGCACACAAATGCAATAACAGATAGTGGAATAGAAGACCTCCCCGTCCTTCAATCCCGCATCCTCCTCCAGGAGACCTTCGGGCTGAACTAGCAAAATCAAATCCATAACGCCATAACCCTTCCCAGCCACCATAAACTCAAGGAAATGATGCAGTCTGCGTGTCGCTGTTGTCCCCGCTAAACGCCTCGCTGTCGGGTAAACAACTGAACAAAAAGAAAAAGAAAAAGATGTTCCATATCTGCTGGAGACTGCCATAACATGATAGGCTTTGCCGGCTGGTAAATGTCTCCGCATCCTTTTCCATAGGTATGCGAGCGCTCCTGTGCTCTTAATTTCCCAACACCCCAGATCGATCCAACGCTCTGGGCGTTGCCCCGTCTGCGTCATCCTCTCTGTTCGTCGGAAGCGGCTTCGGTGTCTCGTCAACGTCGGGCACGAGTGTCTTATCTTCTGAGCTTATGCCACTATCCGGAGGCGTGCGCGTGGCTGTGTCTCGCAAAATCTCGTACGAAGGCATATCG